GTGCACTCTAACAAGCAAGATTTGGCCATATTATATAGCTTGCAAAATATAAGTGTTAGGGGTGCTAGTATATTGAACTTGAACATGAATTAACCCCCCCAAAAAATACAAAGTCCAAACATTTATTGATCAAATATATATTCCACTTTTATTTGGACAGCAGCAACAAGTAGGTAGTCAACTTCTTGGTGGGAAAAGAAGAAAAGCAGGATTGATGTTGCTAAAATAGAACGGTCCTGCTCATAAGAGCTTACAATCTAAATATGATACTTCTAATGAACTGTGCTTTCACAGGTTACAGCAGGAAACAAACGGTTAATATGAATCAAGCAATATTTTCAGGGCCATAAAATTAACACACACACTCACTTAGTAGGATCCTCTATCCACAAAACAGGCTGCAGATCAAAATATCAATATAAAAATACATATAGTACCAAAATAACAAACGCCTCCCACCTCTACAAATCCCCCACACATACATTTCTCATCAGGTTTGTCCTAAAATTGCATTTCAGTTTAAATAAGCAAACTATAGTCAAGTGCATATTTGGAAGAGCAGAGCAATTGACATACATGGATTACAATGCAAAGATAATAAACACATACTCATTGTACAATAATACACAAACACACTTTAGAAGGAAAAAAATGCAAAACATTTGCAGCCCACATCAAAACAGAGCGTGAGTGGGGTCTGGGCCAATTCAGCACAATATCTCTTCCTACCCAAACCACCACAAGCAAGGACTTGCCGAAAATAACCCAGCCTAGTAACAGGACAAGCCACCAATACTGCAGGTCTTTATATTTGCATTTGGAGTATGCCAAATAAGGCCCCAACCCAGTGAAGGCCACACCCACCACTGTCATTCATTTGTCCAGAGAAAGTGTTTGCACCTGATTAATCCTCTTCCCACCTGCGTTAACCCTTGGTATACAGGCCCCACAAATCAGAGTCAGTGAAGTGTACCTGTGCAGCATATCACAGAGAACATTGAACAGGGATGTGAAGGGGAACCCAATGGCAACATTTATTGGCACTATTTGCACAATTCACTCCAGATTATTGCATGAGTTAAGGCAGTCACATCACCACATCTCGCATGCAATACTTAAAATGTCAATTCACTTTTGCTAGTATGCAGGATTTCCCATAAATCGGAAAAACACTCAGGAAATCAAACATAAAAAGGCCTTACACCCCGGTCACATCAAAGCCGATTTAGAAATCCAGCGACTTACAGTGAAGATGCCGATTTCCTTACGATTTGCAAGACATCTGTCACAGATATCTATGCAAATCGCCACAAAAGTATTATTATTATTATACAGTATTTATATAGCGCTAAAAGGTTTGCTCACATTATAGTGGGGGACAGAACATGAGACAATACGGTAACAAAACAAAACTTGAGGGGGTCAAGTGCCCTGCTGCTCTTTCGAGCTTACAATCTAGGAGGTAGGGGATAGTGGTACAGGAGGAAGTGGCTGTGGGGGATGGAGTGGTAGGAGGAGTGTAGGAGATCGGCTGTTAGGTGAGGGCGGGGTAGGCTTTCCTGAAGAGATGGGTTTTCAGGGTGCGCCTAAAGGTGAGGAGGGTAGGTAACAGTCTGATGGATTGGGGTAGTGAGTTCCAGAGGATGGAGGAAGTCCTGGAGAAGTCCTGCAGTTGGGCGTGGGAGGTGGGGGACCATGAAGCTAGAAAGTAGGAGGTCTTGTGAGGAGCGAAGAGTACGGGTTGGATGGTATTTGGGTATCAGGTCGGTGAGGTAGTTTGGGGCAGCGTTTTGAATGGCTTTGTTAGTATGTCTGTGTTAGTAGTTTGAATTTAATGCGTTGGGCAATCAGGAGCCAGTGGAAGGAATGACGGAGGGGGGTGGCAGAAGCGGAGCAGTTGGTAAGGTGGATGAGTCTGGCCGCTGAGTTCAGGATAGACTGAAGCGGGGATAGCCTGTGTTGGGGTAGGCCAGTGAGAAGGGAGTTGCAGTAGTCCAGGCGTGAGATAATAAGGGAGTGAACGAGTTGTTTAGTAGTGTCTGGGGTTAGGAACGTACGTATTTTGGAGATGTTGCGGAGGTGGAGCTTGCATGAGTTTGCCAACGATTGGACATGGGGTTGGAAGGACAGGTTTGAGTCTAGAGTGACACCTAGGACTTCAGCTTGCGGGGTGGGACTGATGGTGGCGTTGTTGGTTGTGATTGGGTGGGGGGGGGCGCAGGCTGGGGGGAAAATCAGGAGCTCTGTTTTAGAAAGGTTCAATTTGAGGAAATGGAGCGACATCCAGTCTAATATGTCGTTCAGTAGGTGGGTGATACGGGCGGAGACTGAAGGGGTGAGTCGAGGGGTAGAGAGGTAAATTTGCATGTCATCGGCGTAGAGGTGATAGTTGAAGCCGTGGGAGTGTATCAGTTTGTCGAGGGAGGAGGTGTAGATGGAGAAGAGAAGGGGCCCTAGGACAGAGCCTTGGGGGACCCCAACAGAGAGGGGGAGGTGGTAGCATTATAGGTAACGCTGAAGGAGCATTGGGATAGATAGGAGGAGAGCCAGGAGAGAGTGGAGTCTTTGATGCCGAGGGAGTGCAGTTTATTAAGGAGGAGGGGGTGGTCAACTGTGTCGAAGGCCGCGGAAAGGTCGAGGAGTAAGAGGACTGAGTAGTGGCCATTAGCTTTAGCGGTTAGCAGGTCATTAGTGATTTTGAGTAGGGCAGTTTCGGTGGAGTGTAGGGAACAGGAGCCAGACTGTAGTGGATCGAGGAGGTTGTTGTCAGTGAGGTGGGCGCTTAGGCGATTGTAGACTAAGCGCTCAAGGAGCTTGGAAGTAAATGGCAGTAGGGAGATGGGTCTAAGGTTGTTCAGGTCGGTGGGGTCCAGGGAGGACTTTTTGAGTATGGGAGTGATGTGCACGTGCTTTAGGGGGGAGGGGAATGCGCCAGTAGAGAGGGAGAGATTGAAGATGTGGATGAGGGAGCGTAGGATGGAGGAGGAGGGTGACCGGAGGAGTTGTGTGGGGACAGGGTCAAGGGGGCAAGTGGAGAGGCGGGCTTCTGAGAAGACCTTAGCAACCTCCTCAGTAGTAGCAAAGCTGAAGGAGCGGAGTGTTGGGGAGGTTATAGTGTGCGGGATATTAGGTGTACATGTACTACTTTAAAAATCAGTGACGGAAACGCACCCATGTGACCGCTCTAATAGCGGACAATAGGGTGCGACTTGTCATACGATTTGCAAGTCGCATGTCATGCAAATCACATGCCAAGTTGCACTCAATGTGACCGCTATTATTTTTTCTTTTTTCAGGTTGCCGGAGGTTTACATCATAATTGACATTGGATCTACTTCGGGGGACATTCTTTTAGATTTTTCTTTTAATAAAGGACTTGTCAAAGACCGTGTCCTGTCTTTTTTTACACTAAACATTTTGTTTTTTGTGAATGAGTAGCGGTACCATGTAGGGGGGTGGGCAGGATCTGGCGGCCCCCTTGTTGAAGGGGGCTTCAAGATTCCGATAACTGCCACGGTTGTGGGGAAGAGGCCCTTGTCCCCTTCAACATGGGGACAAGGTGCTTTGTGGGGGGGGTTGGGGAGTCCCCCCTGCCACAAAGCACCCCCCCATGTTGAGGGCTTGTGGCCTGGTATGGTTCAGGAGGCTCGCTCGCCCCGTGTGGGACCCCACGCCATTTTTTTTTTTTTTTGTTAATTGCCGACCTTTATTTTTAGGTTCAGATGTCAAAATATATATTATCTAGACCTTCGAAATATGAAAAACCATTACAGAAAGAATTATAAAGGATAAGAAACAAAAACAGAATCAATAGAACAAAGGAAATCAAATTAGAATATCAAAAAGTTATGCCTAGCTACAATAAGTGCTGTTTGTTAAACACAGAAAGCGCCCACAGCAGACGGCTAAATTGTGTCCTGGACATGCTCGTTGCTATCCCTGCATAGACATTGGAAAAGCGTCTAGTTCTTGACTGTCATGAATTCCCTTAAAAAACTATTTTTTACCCATTGAAAATTTTTTTGAAATGTAATATATTGTTTAAAGTGAAGTCCAGATATTTGGGAAAGCAAATTTCAATGTGAACATGTTTCTGCAGTGATTTTCCATTCTGTTAGACATACTTCTAGGACTTCTGCTGTTTTAGACTGATTCCTATAGTGTGCCTAGTTAGCAAATTCGCTTTTGAGTCTACTTGTTAGACTCTTTCTTTAGTAAATGTTTTTGTCGTCTAAAAGTAGATGGACTCTATTGAAAAGTAGACTTTATCCCACGGAAATGTGTCTAGGCACATTAGTAAATCAGGGCCGAAGAGTCAATGAACTACCACAGCGCTCCACAACACCACGGTAGTTCATTAAGAACTACAAGCCTACATCTGCAAAGGATATTGGCACTTGTAGTTCATTCATTCACAGGACTCGAAATGAATGAATGATGTGGCCGTGTGAGCGGAGCCCCGAACGGCCGTGTTGAGTAAGGGGAACAGAGTTAGTAAGGGGAACTTCTCCCTGTACTGCAGCAGTGGAAACGGGCGCAAGGTGGTTCTCTCGTTCTGAGAGGACGTCATATGATGTCCTCCAATTCTCACCGTGCATGTGCGGCTTAGGGAGCGCGCAGCGCGGCGATTGGCGGTGCGCTGTGTCCCTCGGAGACAGTGGATCACCGATCTATGGAAAGAGACAAAGATGTCGGCTCAGTCATGTGATCATCTGTGTCCAATCACAGCTGATCACATGTAAACAGGGAAATGCCGGTTACTGGCATTTCTCTCCTCACGAGCTGTCACGCTGACAGCTCAAGAGGAGAGGAGAGCCGGTAATCGGCATTCCGTGGAGGGGACATGTACACTGATCATCAGGGCACTGATGATCATTGTGCCCTGATGATCAGTGTGGCCCCAAAAGTGCCACCTGTCAGTGTCCATCTGTGCCAGCTGCCAGTGCTGAACAGTGCCACGTGCCAGTGCCACATCAATGCCACATATCAGTGCCTACCAGTGCACATCAATGCCACATATCAGTGCCCATCTGAGCTGCCTTTCAGTGTCACTCATCAGTACTACCTATGAATGCCAATCAGTGCCACCTATCAGTGCTGCCAATCAGTGCCACCTATCAGTGCCAGTCAGTGCCGCCTATCAGTGTGCATCAGTACCTCCTATCAGTGCCAGTCAGTGCCGCCTAACAGTGCCAGTCAGCCTAACACTGCCATATATCAGTGCCATATATCAGTGCTGCCTTTCAGTGCCCATCAGTGATGCCTGTCAATGCCCATCAGTGCCACCTACCAGTGCCTCCTCATCAGTGCCACCTATCAGTGTATCCTGTTAGTGCCCATCACTGCAGCCTCATTAGCGCACATCAGTGAAGGAGAAAAATCACTTATTTACAAAATTTTACAACAAAAACTAAGAAAAAACATTTTGTTTTCAAAATTTTTAGCGGTTTTTGGTTTGTTTAAGAAAAAATAAAAAACCCAGAGGTGATTAAATACCACCAAAATAAAGCTCTATCTGTCACAAAAAAATAACAATTTCATATAGGTGCATGACAACGCAATTGTCATTCAAAGTGTGACAGTGCTGAGAGCTGGAAATTGGCCTGGGCAGGAAGGGGGTATAAGTGTCCTGTAGACAAGTGGTTAAATACCACAGGCAAGCGGTTAAAGAGGTATTAAGCTCAAAAGCAAACATTATTGTTATATATTCTTATTTTAATTATTAATATTAAAATTAATAATATTAAAATTATTATATTGCAGCCTACCAATTCTTATATGTGTTGGTTGCATTAATTTTCTTTTTTAAGCTTTCCTTTCTTTATTTTTACCTGGTGATCCAGCCAGTAAGCCTGTTGTTTTTCAACAGAACAATCTGTCTTACAAATGTAGCAGTTAGGTTAGGACAAACCATTTACCACTGACAGAGGTGCTATGTAATGTACAACACAATGTGCATGGGTCAGGAGTAAGTAACATCAAACAATGTATATAGTGCAGCGTCATGATAAGCCCTGGGACAAAAAATAGGCCTGGCATCTTGGACTGAGTAGCCCCATTCCTGGGGACTCTTTCCTCAGAGCACAGTAGCGGAACGCCAGGGCCCAGTCACAAGAGTGACCCTTGTGACCCTGATAGTTCAACCAATAATGTCAGTAGGTTTTTATTTTTAGGTAATATTTTACAATATATATATATATATGTAGCAGGCTCCTTGTACAAGAGGATTCAGAAGGAATCACATGATCAGCAGTCAGTCCTTTCTCTCTCTCTCCTATTTGTAAAACCTGGGCATTCTGCCAAGTTCATGACTCATCCACTACACAGCAAAGAACGCTGGGAGGGGGAGGAAGCAGGAAGTGAAGGGGAGAACAGAGAGACACGAGGCTGGAGAAAAGACAGGGACACGTGGAGCCCGTCCAAGCAGAGGAGGAGGCACTACAGCACTCAGCGCGGATAGAGGGACCCTGCTGTGTGTTCAGAGTCTGGTGAGCTGTCCCCCTGGAGAGAGTAAGACACACCATTTACACTTTGCATATAGACTGGGACATCCGCACCCCACTGCTGGGATCTCACCCATCCGGGGCCCTGTGCAAGCCACAGATCCCCCTGCCTGCTTTGCCCCTCACCACCAGTGTAATTGAGACTGTCTGCCCTGGGGACTGACACATGCTGGGAGATTGCATCCTGCGACTGCCCCTGGTCTTGGGGTGCTTTGTGTTGCGTTTAGACACTGAGGTTGGACCCTCTCAGCCCAGAAACCTAGTGAAATCTGATGTAACCCACACCAGCTGAAACTCCAAAGAAGCCTTCAGCTGTTATTTACTTCATTGTAAGGACTAAACGTGCACCAACTAGAGCTCCACCGTTACAAGGACTGAAGTGGGGGAATCTGGCTTAGTAGCTTTATTAGAGGTACCTCTTTATTGCATTCTGTTCTGACTCTGAGGTGGTTTTTGGCTAACGCCCCTCAGAAGCAGAATCATACACCGGTGTGGGTAATACATTTCATTGATAGAGTATAAGTAATGTGGTGGTTTATGTAAGGATATATATTATTTATAAAGGGCGTGTCCCTTTCCCTTATATGAAATATTACAGTGCCTCCAGCCGTTAAAATACGGCAAATATTTAGTAAACCAATAATTTGGACACCTTGATAATTTGATCACCACTTATTATTATACCTTGAATTCTTTTAGCCAATATGATTTCGTACCATACACACAAAATTTGCCTTGTAATAGATAAATATAAGAATTTATTTATGTACAAAAATTATATATATATTAACACAAAACGCAAAAGACTGGTGATAAATGAATATTGGTACACACAATCAAAAACATATCCTACCAATGTAAGACACAATAATAAGGTTTCTAACTAATTACATCAATATCACAATTTTTAAATGATATGATTATTTATTAAATTTATTAATAATTAATAATTTCGAATATCTCAAAGGTTATATTCTCACAAGCCGTGGCCATAGGATTGCAAGAAGCAAGCCCTTGATATATGATACTCTGGTTATTAATATTCAATAAATTATGAAATATGAAAAAAAAAATTATAATATGGCAATAAACAATTTTTAACAGTAAAACAGGATCTCTCTACATATATCTAACTACCCAATATTGTTGTGATACACTAAGGTAATTCTATGATTCCACACAACGGAGAAAATAGGTAATACAAAATCAAATAAACATCTCACCACACCCGGAATTCAGACTAGGCAACTCTCCCGTGGATTTAGCTGGCAGTGGAACGCCTTTAGACTGATATTATAGGGCAAGTGATAGATATTCAGTAGGGGAGAATGTAGGAAGTTATAAGGTTAGAGGTTTAGAAATTTAGTTAAAGTTTTAGGAAGTTTGAAAGTATGGAAGAGTAGTTATTCAGCAGAGATCTTCTTCAGTCAAGTTTTCTTTTGCTGCGGTCTTTTCTTTTGATGAGTTTTTTCTTGATGAGGTCTTCTGATGAGGGTTTTTCCATGAGGTTTTTTTTTTTCTTAAAGGTACAAGGGCTTTTATATCCACTAATCCATTGTTCTAAGATACCTTCCCACCAGGCTTCTTGATTGGCTAGTTGAGAAATGTGTGTACATAAGCTATTTCTCACCTGCCCGCCAGGTGGCGGTCATGTATCATAGAACAATTTGAGTATTTGAGATGACTCATACCTCGGGTGGAATCTTAAGGTAATTTCAGGGATCGAATATACGTCTTTTTCCAGATATAAGTGATCATACCTATAATATTCTAAATAGGGACCATGGAATATAGGTGTATATTCAGTTATTCCTTCTTGAAATACCATCCTGTTTGTTTCCTGATAAGACATGTAACTAATGCTAGTTTATAATACATCTTACTTCCCATCATCTCAATACTCAAGTTAGTGATATATAGTTCCCATTGCTGAATATTTAGTGGTGTGTAAAATCTATAACATCTCATTTATAATATGTTTTTGTAATATATCTTTGTAATTATATACAGTCAATTTTTAGGCTTAAATGTCCTGAATTTCACCTCTTTGTTTTAGAATCAACATTTTCTATGTGTAGGGAAAAACTCTCTGTTTGCCTGGCTCTTGTATTGGAATCATGGTAAACAACTGTTAATGCTTTCACCCTTGGTGAACAATAGTATATTGTAATAGTTTCAGAGGTCTGTTAGTTCATCACACTCTGCAAGTTTTGGTTAAGCTTTCAACCAGTTGAGTTCCCGTCTCATTATTGTTAAAATGTTTGAAAGTCGAAGTCCTATCTGGCTATTTGTTTGACTTTCTGTATATGCATTCTTCTCAACCTCAATATACAAATAGTCCTTGTTGACAGTCCAAACAGTCTTATTGTCTTGGAAAAGTCTTACTCCCCCCATTCTCTCCATTTCTTTAACTAGAATCCTCGAGGGTTCAACCAAGACAAAATTAACTCTTAGCATCCGGCTATACTGAGCTGTTTGTCATATAATATTATGTCTTGATAAAGTCATATTTTTGAGACATAATTCAAAAGGTCCACAACAGTAAGTTTATTTGTTTGATATCAGTTGTATTCTGCTTAAAGTGCAACTCTGCCATCCGGAGACTCTTGGCTGTGAAGCCCTCTAGTGGCAGACCAAATTTACTGCATCGCATAAAAGAAGAAAAGTAAGTTTTGAGGTTGAAAGGGGAACCCCACCCCTCTACACTGCATTTTATTCTCCATAAAATTGTTCTTGTTTCATTTAACCCTGTGTCAGCAAATTTCTTGGCGGGGTATTTGCTATTCATTACCAGTTGTGCCAGAGGGATTGGGTTTGCTTAGGGTTGGATCTATTGAGCGCAGGACCCATAATATATTCCAGCTTGTCCCGAGGGGCAGTGCTACATATATTGTATATGTTTTGGTTTTTCTTTACAGGAGGGAAAGAGAAAAAAAGAGAAGGAAAGAAAGAGAGAAAAAGATAGAAGGAATGAGGGCAAGAAAAAGGGTAAAAATGGAAGGAGGGAATGAAGGAAGGAGCAAAAGAAGGAAGGAGGGAATGAAAGAAAGAGGGAGAGAATGAAGGAGGGAACTAAGGAAAGAAGGAAGGAGAGAAAGAAGGAGGGAAAGAAAGAAGTAATGAAAGAAAGAGGGAGGGAAAGAAGTAAGAAGGGAAAGAGAGAGGGAAATAAAGAAAAAGGGAAAGAAGGAAGGAGGGAAAGAAGGATAAAGGGAAATAAAGAAAGAGGGAAAGTAGGAAGAAGAGACAGAAGAAAGGAGTGAAAGAGGGAAGGAGAGAAGGAAGGAGAGAAAAAAGGAAGGAGGGAAAGAAGGAAGGAGGGAGGGAAAGAAGGTGTCACGTACCTGATGGTGGAGCTTGAGATGTAGAGGAGGGCCTCCGTTGCGGCTCTATCTCAGGGGCCCTGGTAAGGTGACAGGGAGCACCGGAGCACAGAAGGCATGAGTGCCTGATGAGAATTCTGTGGACAGATGTGCGTCAGGAAACGCAGGAGCAGCTGGAGGAAGGTACACTGGCAGAGGTGCAGGGTAGTCAGGCAGCCGGTGCTCAGGCAGATGTACGGGTGCAGACAGGGGCGGACTGACAACTCATGGGGCCCCCGGGCAGTATGAGATAATGGGGCTCCCTGTGCCACCACCTACACTCAAGCATACCCACACAACACCCTACCTACATATTGCAGCTCAGCTGCATAGAAGGGGCATTTACATATTTACTGCAGCAAAGACTGCATGAATGTTCCTGGCTTCTTTCCGTAGAAGCCACTGGGCACTTTCCGG